GTAGGAACACAACAGCTTTTATCCTCAAGGACAACACTTGGAAGTGGAACTTATCTTATTCCTGATGTGTCACAGCTTTAATAACCTGTTGCCTCGGGGTACGAAGAAACACGTTTCCTCTGCAGCAGGCATCAGTGGGATAAACCCAGAGCTGGGAGCAATGGGTTTCTATTTACAGGATATCCTTATTATACCCAGGGCTTCCCAATAGCCAGTAATTTCCCTGAGCCTCTGTGGTTACTACTGTGCAGGACTTAGATTCCTGAGGACAGGCTATTGCTCATAATCAGAAGTAATCAGTTCTGCACAGGGTGTCAGCCTATATAATCTTCCAATACAAGCAGAATGTTAATTTTCTAATACAACCATACAGATCTGGAGTGCCACAATAGAGCTTGCTTTTATACATATGTATTAGATTAAAAAAAAAAGACCTTTGTGGAAACTAATGTTCCATAGAGCTTCAATAGAAAAGTGAAGCACTTGAGCTCAAAGGGAAAGAGGGCTTAAAATTATCTGCTTTCATTGAAACAATAAGCCACTTGGCATTTTCACCTTGGCCGGGATTTCCACACATTTGGGGGACAGTTCAATTGCTTTTCCATCAAATGTAGTTCAAACAATAAAAAAGGATAAACCAAAATGAGCAACCTACACTGGCTTTCCAACTGAAAACCGTGTGTTCCGAAAATATGAGAATGGAAGCTTTCTCTGGCAGCTAAATGGTCAGGGATTTTTCTCTTCATGCGTTTCTGGCTGGGAAAATAATTCCTGTGCAGTTCTTGCAATCATCAGCATAGGAGCCAGTGGTAAAGGCAAAAGAGTCAGTTTGCTTGCAGGTTTGATGTAGTTGCTGCTGGTTTTCTCTTCGTGAGAAGACAGACTCCTTGTGGTGTGATGGGACCAAAGTCCCCATCACATCAGGAGCAGTGGTAAAAAAAGTCTGCCAAAAGCTCTGAAACCACTGCTGACTTCAGCGGGAAAACACACGGGATCAATCCTTATGTGTCAGTCTCAGCTACTGCTCTCTCTCCAATTTATTATGAGCAAGGTGCTTTTAATATTCACAGTCAGCTCTAGGTATGTGTCTAAAGGACAATAGCATGCCCTTGTGGAAGAGGAGTTATCTTCTTCCTCCGGACTCTGTGTTAGGACTTGCCTGTGACTTGCCACAGGGAGAACAACATTATTTACTGAATACCAAAGTGCTGGCCTATTTTCACAGCCTGTAAGAAAGCCTTTTGAATAGCAAAGCAGCTCAATTTTAAACTAGGCAGATCCAATTTTCTTAAGGATGTTCTGTAGATTCTTACTTCTGCTGGTCAACAACCACCTCTTAAAACCAGCAGGTCAACGAACACCTCTTTAAACCAGCACTGCTCCCATCAGGTCAACATTCTTCATCCAGTGGAAATGATCATTGCAAGTTCCTGTACAGGCCCCCAGTGTTAATTGTGTTGTACAGAGGCAGGATGGAGGCCCATTGCTTTTTTGTGAATTGTAGAAACTCAGCTGAGGGTAGAACTCAGCCCTAACACTTTATTAGGCTGCAGACTGCATGTATGCAGCTTATATTCCTGAATATGTTGTATCACTATATGCTTTTACCCCAGTAATATGTGAAAAAAGGACCTTAGGGTGGACATTTTCTCTTCAGGGGTGCCAGCATCCTGGCTAGAAGCAAAGAAATGTCATCGGCAGGAATGGAGAGAGGGAAAAATGTTGTGCTGCTTGACCAGTAACTGCATGACTGCACCATATTGCACCAAAACAAAATCAATGTCACACCATGACTGTGTTCTCACAGTTCTAAAATCTGTAAGATATGCCCAGTGAAGCTCTTTGAATGTTCCCCAAAGTTGTGTGTAGCCCAGAGGCACAGTAAAGTCCATTTCTGTGTTACTGCTTTTCTGAGAGCTTTTACTAGTGTGTCCTCATGAAGGTAGTTGCCTCTAAGTAGAATCATATAATATAAAAGTAGCTGTGACCAGCATATCAGATAATTTTATGGACATGTTTAGTGACATCCACACTCAGAAAAAAAGCTGTAATGTGGCCTTTTTGTCATGCTTGGTGACCTACAAGATTTTTCCAGAATTGTTTGTTGTGTGTGCAATTACATAGTCCTTAATCACTGTTATACAACAGTGTCATTCACAAATGCCTTCTCTGGTGTCCACCACGAACATGGAAATGAAGACTCTTATCTCTGAGAATGTGGGGTATCTCACTACATTTGAGTTATGCAGATTATCCAGAGGTTTATGTTGATAAAAAATCTTTAAATTTCAGTTCCTTATCTGTGTGTGGTACATAACTGTGTGAGGTTAGAAGAGTTTTAGAGAATTTTAAAGATAGCTTGTCACAGAGTAGAGATCTGATTTTTGTGTTTCTCTTTCTAAAAGACAATCTGAGTTGTGTGGCTCCTAAGATAAAAACACTCAGTAGTGATCTGAAGTGGTTTTTATACAGGCTCCTATATCATGATTTTAAACAATAGTTTCTCAAGACATTCCATAGTTTGACACAAATGGAGACACTCTCTTTCTCCCAATGACATAAAACTCTTAGAATACTAGGGATGCAAGAGATCCATGTTTAAACTCAGCAGAAAATCTGTCCACCCTAAACTCCTGACAAGTGTCAGTTTGGAGTGTCACAAAGACACTGTGCCAAGGCCTCAAATTGAGACTATTTGACAGCTATATGACTAGTGATGCCATAAAAGTATTTTTTTATAGGACATTGGTGTCCATGGTTCTGATAAACCATCTTGATCATAACAGTCATTTGAAAAACGTGTTTCAGATTCGTGCATAATGTTTTCAGAATCAGTTATTATAGAGTTTGTTTCCAAAATTCCACTTCACTCTCAGATTCTACCTCTAAATATAAATCTAATCCTCCTTCCTTGTCCTGTTCTATATATACAGCACACCCACATGTGATAAAGCCTTCTGCCATAGCAGCAAAGAAAGGTGGAGGGGGGGGGAACGAAGGCTGTAGCTAACCTGTGGGAGCACTGAATGCAGTTGGCTGCTGCTCATAATGTTCAAAGATATAATTATCACATGCATGATGAGTACTACACCTGCTGCATCTCTTTTGCTTAAATAAATGATTCCTTAAAATGCCACAGAGCTGCCTCACTTGGAAACTATTAACCAGAGAGGTCATCAGAGGACTTCACACTCCCTGTCCTTCCCCTTCCACCAGGCAGGTTTGCTAATGCATCTCTCTCTCTTTCTCTCTCTCTCTCTTTCCACCCCCGCCAAACTTTTCCTATCAAAATCCTCACCACCTCCTTTCCGGTGCCCACCTTTCTCCTTCATTGTGATTTTTTTTTTTCATCTCTTCATTTCCCCTGTCTTTGTCTGAGCCTTCTTTCCTATTGCCTGTAAATCTGATCCATTACAGTTTGTAGGTAGTGCTTATCAAGCCAGAGTTCTCAGTGAGAAGTGGGATAGCTTTAAGGATGTGCTTTGTAGGTGCTTCACTCGGCATCTTTCTTAAAACTTGCTTTGTCTCTGCAGCACAATTTAGCATTCTGTTCCTCCAGTGCATTATTTCTTCTCTATCAAGAGTCTTGTGTTTGTCTGTAACCACACTGCTGCCTAGTAGGTGGCCTAGACAAGCTGCCTGTGACACAGCAGGAATGATGTATTCGGTGCAAAGGCTTCTTTTTTTTTTTTTTTTTTTTTTATCTTGGACCATCTGCTGGTGAAATGTTCCTATCACTCAAACCTCTTCCACACAAGGAACCTGACCCATCACTGATTACTTGTCAGTAACTGATGTCCTCAAGCAGGGACTGCCCGTTTTTAAGACTGCTACAGGAAGTAGTGTTAGATGCTTTGAGAATCACGTTGTCCCATGTCTACTAACAGTGAATCCAATTTTAAGGCAGTACAGTCAGACCTTTGCTGACTGTTGTCAACAATGAGTCACTTTCCTATCATAGAGGGAACCTTAAGGAAAGCTTCAACGCAGCAGAAATATCTTGTTCGTAGTCACTCCCCAGATTCTCATTTCTTCTGATATTGGTAGTGGATTTTGCAGCTTCCTAAATCACCACTGACTTGTGTCTTTGTATTTATTTGTATTTATTTGCACATTTATTTCTTTCTGTGCATCATGATGAATGTACCGAAAGACAGCCAAAGAGTTCAAAGGCCTTACAGGACATGTGTCAAGCAGAGCAAGGTTGTGGTTAGAGTATGAGGTCTATTTCTAGCTTTGCCTGTGACTTCTCATAAAAGGTTATTGGGATTATTTAGATAAATAAACCCAAATGCACGAAATTACATATTTAAACACGTGGGAACGTGACCAAATTTTCAGGAGTGCTTAATTCTGAAAATTTCATTGGTAGCAACAGAATCTGTTATTTTACAGACCTTTTTGAATGCAAAGCAATTTACATAGATAACAAAGACAAATAAGAGTTGATATCTAAGTTTGAAAATATCCATCATGCATTGTTTTTCTTTCAATTGCTGAAAAAAAAAGAAAGCATTGTTTTCTCCGTTATTATGGTTTCATAATGTGCTTATATATCCTGAAGTGATAGGTGATGTGTGAAAGTCTGTCTGTATCAAGGCATACATATTTTAATATATTAAAAAAATAGTGACTAAAAAAGAAAAAAAAAGGGGATGATACTTGAGAAATGAATTTGCTAACAGTAGTAGAGTGCCCCTTGCCTTAGGCCAGCCTTTTACCCAAGAGAAAAACTAGTTCCCTGATATCTATAGGTGATAGAATCCCATCATGACACAACTCCTGCTTCGTGACTCCCACCAAAAAACCCAAAATTTCTGTATCAGGGAATTCTAACCATGCCCAGTGCCTACACTGACTTACAGCAGACTCAAGAGGAAAACAGCATTGATTAAAAAATGAATTCAGCTTAACTTTGTTTCTTTCTATTACTATTTTCACAAAAGCCTTGGAGGTATGAGACAGCTTCAGAGACTTTAATGGCAATTCTTGTCTTTCAGGCATCGGATCTCAAAATCAAAATTTAGGTAAGTAAAACTGATTTTTGCTTTTCCTGCTTTCTGCTGGTTTTGTTCCTTACTTTGTGAAGTGGTTTAGTCCAGCATCTCTAGGATGCAGTGGTGATTCTAGGAGATACTGCCAAACATGTTAGATTTAGTCAAAAATCAAGATTGTTCTTCTTAGTTTTATACTGAAATAAGGCACAGGGACTACTGACATTATTCCACTCAGAAGTACCTCTCTGATTGCTACCTACGTATCTCAAACCATAAAACACAATATCAGAAGTGAAATTCAACCACATAATTATATTGCATCCATCAATATCAACCCTGTCAGCTCAAGGCTCTCTTTCTTACACTTTATTGCACTCCTCTGCTTTGCTTGATTGTAAATATTTCAGCTGATGAGGTTTGCATCTTATTTGTGAAGTTCTCCCCTTCACCCTGGGACATGGGGAGTTTTTTCTAGTTATGTTTGTTTTTCTGTTGACTTACAGATTTTGAAAAAGTGAAGCAGTCCCAAGGGGGTTTGCATTGGAAAGGCTGACTGAACTCGTGAAACTTGGTTGTTAAAGTCCATTTCTACCTTTTTGGTAGGAGCTGAGCTGCCTCCATAACCCTGAATTCAAAGTCAGTTTTATAAAAAGCTAAAATAAACTAAAAAAAACCCTAAAACTAGATTAACTTTCAGTATAATGAGTAACTGTGTCCTTCAGCTACCTAAATAACAAACAGTAATAAAAACTTTGGGATGCACATATGTGTACATCCTGCCTTTATGCATCCCTGTGTAAAGAGTGTAGGTGTGAGCACAAAAAAGCACTATACATTTTCATGTGCATGCACATTTGTGCACAAGTACACACTAAAGTCTGTGGGATTCCTAAGGATTTAATGACAACAATATTGTCTAAGCGTTGTGCCTATTTTGGAAGTTGGGAAGATCTTTTCTTGTCCTAAATCTACTGCAAAACACACAACCCTTTTTGAATGTTTGTGATAGCTTGTCTGGGTGCCTTTATAAATTGCACAGATAAAACACTCCAGATTGGATTACCTGTTAAAATGTTGCTGCAACATTCTCGTTCACATTGTGTTCACATTGCCTGGTGTTAGTTCATAGAGATGCTGAATCCTGACCTCAAGTAGGGCCATAGTTTATCACTGAAAATAATATACAAGAGAAGAATAGACAAGAAAAGTTCTTTCCCTCTGTAATGTAGTGTATGTGTATGTCCCTTCAGAGACACACTCACACATATGTATATATTATCTATATAAAACTATTAGATTTATTATACAGTGGCAAGTGTTGCCTGGAAACTGGTTGCTATGCAAGTTAAATTCTGACGAGTAGGAGGTGTGTAATTAGCTTTAAATATCTTCTGTGGTTAGTAATTACCCTCAGAAATCAGTGACACAAGGGGATATGTTCATGGAAGGCAAACTTTAAAAAGTCTGTTGATTAGCAAATGGTACCCTTAGTTCCAGGCATGAAGGTGAGATGCTGAGGTCCCCTAAGTTTTGGGGTTTTGTTATGAATTAGGCCTTGTATTGGGATTACTCCTGAACATTACTGAATGTTGGAAATGTTACATGGATTTTATTTGACCTCACCTCTCCAAAGATGTAATCCAAAGGTTCATGTGGCATAGTGGGTATCTTTTCAGTGACTATCCTGAGGCTGGGCAAGGTCCCATTGCAGACTACAAGCATCAAATACAAGGAGAATGATTATTTTTGTGGGAACTGGGCTAAAAAAACCTCTCAGGGTATCTGCAGTGGATGTCTTAATCAGATTAAGATATTGCTTGAAGATGTTGCAAATTGGTTTAGGACCAACTTTATTCCTGTAGATAAAGGAAGGATGATCACAACTGTCAACTCAGATGAGAATGAGAGAATGTTTCTCAGAGTGAACTTTAAAGTTATTCTCTACCTCTCTTGAACAATAAATCAAGACTAGAGTCTCTCTTGGCAGAGAATTGCAATAGCCTGTGGATCCCTATCTGAAAAGAACTTTTCCTTTTTCAATATTTCAAGCCGCTACTGGCGCCGATGGAATCGATTCTGCAGAAGAAAGTGCCGTGCCGCTGTCAAGTCCAATGTTTTCTATTGGTTGGTGATCTTCCTTGTGTTCCTCAACACCCTCACCATTGCCTCTGAACACTACAACCAGCCAGACTGGCTCACGGAGGTCCAAGGTGAGGAGAAGCTGATGGTTCTGTTCATTATGGTCAGTGTCAAAAAAGGGAGCGGAGAGAGGAGCTGGTGCATTAAAGCACACGATGTAAAAGGAGAATCTGAAATAATACAATAAACATCCCTGCCTACAATGGGAGAAGTTTTAGGAAAAATGTAAGTACCTTGTTTCCAGCCAAAGCAGTGTTTCCTTGGGTGTAAGTAAAACCAGGAATTTATGCTAAATATATATTTGCAACTGGATTACCAATTAATGGATTGCTACTGAGAGCCTCACGTTCTCCAAGGTTTTCCCTGAAATGGCATTTATGATAATTTTTAATTGTTAGGGAGGTGATGAAGAGTGATTTGTAAAGTTCTCCTGTCTGCAGAACAGTTGAATTCTCTCTGGAGGTGAGAGCAGCTGAAAGGCTTAATTAAGCAACAGTAGGTAGCACAGCAGCTCTTCTGTTCCCACTCTCCCCTGCGGATGACAAGTGTGATGGGAGGTTGTGCACAGGAGGGCATGTCCCTGCCATTGGTCGTTGTGTGGTTGTGTAATACATTGCAGCTGGATATGCAGTACATAAGAATTGCTGTAACCACCCTGGTAAAACACTTCTGTGAATGAGATGCCCACGCTTTTGAAGTTCATTCTTTGAACCAAGCTCATACGAAGTTAACTTTTAAGACTGATCCCCAAAAAGGTTTCTTAGCAAGGGCCGATGATTAGTTGTGGTGATCTTTTGACTAAGTTTCCTTAATCTGTTCCTTTTTGTTTTTCATGAGACACTGCCAACAAGGTGCTGCTAGCTCTTTTCACGGCAGAGATGCTGCTGAAGATGTACAGCCTTGGTCTCCAGGCCTATTTTGTGTCCCTCTTCAACCGCTTTGACTGTTTCATTGTGTGCGGAGGAATCCTGGAAACGATCCTGGTTGAGACAAAGATCATGTCACCACTGGGCATTTCGGTTTTGAGATGTGTTCGACTCCTAAGAATATTTAAAATCACAAGGTACTTTATTGCTTCTTTGGGACTGAAGGGGGGCTACTGCTCAGCGCACAACATATATAGGTACAGGTCGCTCACATCCCTGGTGTTTTTCACTTTTTCTACCACTAATTGGGTAGTGAGAGGTGTAGGTTAACAGTCCTCATCTTCTGCCACCTGTGGTGGGATGGGGAGGACTGTGCAGACTGGATATCCCTGATGTGAGTGATAAGGATTGGTGAGGAGCCTGGCATAGGGAGCTGGAGACACTTGATACCATGCAAATTGTTAAACTGAAGCCTGGAATGGTAGTCCAAGCTGAGATTGGGCTCTTATGGTTCCCTGCAAAAGTCAAAGCAAAACTAAAACAGCAGATAGCCTTGTGACCTTCTCTGATGCTTTCTGGGGACAGAGAGGAGCCTGAAAGACTGCCTTGAGCTAAAACAACATTTGACTGAGGAGCCCATGCCAACTCCAGTAGACTCAACAGTGGCCTGAGTGGGAGATTGTGTCAACACCAGCAGCTATAGACGAAGGATGTTGCCAGCTATTCCCCTTCAAAGGAGTCCATCATGAAGCAGCAGCTTTATGAACAAGCCAGACTTTTTCCAGATTCCAGTATCCCTTCTTTTTCCTTTTCATTCTTTCTCTTGTCCCTCTACATAAAGGCACATTTAATACATGTGTAGTAAACAGGCACTACTTCCTGAGTCAGGTACCTCCAAAACCACTGGGTTGGTTTGGCAGGGCTTTTTCAGCTTGAGGGGAGGTTGTAGGAGAGATCAGCTCCAAACTTGACCAGATGGGAACTCTTGGAACTAATTTTACCCAAGTGCTTACCCCAAGTAGCACAAGGTCTGCCTTTTCCCATGTGGGCACCAATCAGCTTTTATAAAAAACTTGACTAAGGTGGTGAAAGAGTGAGTTTTCTGCATGCTCAGCTATGGAAATGTCCCTAAAATTGCTGTAACCCACCCCTCCAAAGGAAACATCTGACAAATTTGAGATAAAAACACGCAGCACATGAAGAAAACAAGGCCAAAACTGAAAGATAGTCAAGATGGCAGAGCTGAGAGGCAGAAAAAAACAACAAATTTGGACTTGTTCATCATAAAAGATTTACCCTTAAAGCTTCTGAGCCTCAGCTCTCTGGTAGGATGGATGGTTTTCAGGGTCAGATGGCAGAGACAGAAAATCAGTTTACAGTCTCAGAGAGAGAGGCCAAAGCAAGCCTACAACTATTAGAATGGGGGGAGGGAAGTGGTCTGTTTAGACTCGTGTTTATAGAAGAGGGGAAAACGTTCCAGCTAACAAGAGTTTCCAGCCAGAAAGGCATCTTTGCTCTTTCAGAAATAGTGGGGATCTCTGGTCTGCTGACTGTTTTTCCTGGATCTTTGGGTCTGAAAGCTATCATCACCAAGTCCCAGGCCTGGTTTCTGAGGAAACCAGGAGCTGTTTCAGGCATTGGGTAATCAGATACACCCAGGGCAACATACCAATAGCTATAAAAGCATAAGCTTCAACATAGCATCCTGGAGAGGTCATTGTTTTTTCAAGACATTTCTCCACTCCTACACAAAATATATAAGCTAGCTAAGAGAATTCTCTAATAGAAAGGCAAACACCGAGAGAATATCATTAATACTTTGAGCTGTTGAAGTACTCAAATATTCCTAAAGCTTCTGGAAGAGATGTAATGATGGAACCAACCAGCAGTAGGACTAGTTATATTGGCCTTCATTCTGCAACACAATTAAAATACAATTTTTCATGGAAACAAATGTTACCTGGAATATGTCTCCTGCAATTTGTGCATGGGTCTATGTGTAAAACACAGAGATGAGGAACAATTCATAATGCATAATGTATTAATCAGATTTTGCCTTCTTTCCTGTTCCTGAAATATTGGCAAGTAGGTTGCAGTGGTTTCAAATTTATCTGTTTTGTAATTATTCATAATTTTCTTCATGATTTCTTCTTCCCTCCGTGGGTGAAGTTCACCCTCATGTGGAAAGCCCTAACACAAGCCTCCAAAGCAGTATTTTAGGCCCACTCATGTCTTAACGCAGGAGAGAATATTCTGGCCCTAAAGCAAAACTTCTGCCTTGATGTTCTCTGGTAAATTACAATTTTTTCCATTATTCACTCAGCTTTAAATACAATGATGATTTATTGATGACATTATCAGTACTGGTGCAATAGACCACCTGAGTGCAAAGATAATACAGAAAGATACAACACTAGAAAACTGGGAGGGGTAGGAGGGGTGGTAGGGTAGTGTTTTGTGCCAAATATATATTCATCAGCAATGACAGGGGGACGTGCCGTAGAGGTGCAAATGGTGATAATCAAGGGCATTAAAAAGGCACAAAGCAGGAAAATTACTCTCGTGAGAATATATCAGTAGGTAGCCTATTCTTTATGTATTTGGATGGATTTTCCATTATAAACACCAAGCACAAACAAATTCTGGGTGCATCAAGATGATACAATTCTAGGAGAAACATAGCTCCTTAATAGAATAGAAGCAAATAAAGACACCATCAGATGAACAGTGCATCATTTTAGAAACCACATTTAGAATATCAAGAGCAAACATTTCTTCCAAAATTATAAATACATTAGACAAGCAGACAATATAATCTGTTTGTTTTATTCTCCCTAATTTTTAAAGTGCTGTGCAGAACATCTCCCTCTTTGCTATGAGAAGACAAATTATTTTCTCATTATAAATAGTCCTTTACTGCTTTATAAACCCCTACATATAGTCCTTTATATTTAAAAAATAAATCATATCATTTGCAACAGCATACAGAAAGTTGATGGTTTATACCTAATCCTGCCACTAGATATGTCACTGTTAACTGTAGGGAGAAGAGACATGATGCCTTTTTTTTATACCTGCTTTCAAAGTAGTTTTATATTGGATGAACAGTGTGGGAAGCTTTCATACTATGAGACTGCCAGCTGTTGCTACTGTTTTAAGCTTTGCATCTGTGATTGCCAGTATCACTAAGACATTGTGGAAGGCAATGGAGAGGAGAGGGAAGAGAATACATGAACATGTTAAATTCTAATCCAGTCCTATGATTGATTATTGTGTGAGATGTTGAACAAACCATTTAACTTCTCTGCACCATTCCCCCACTTTGAAACGGGGATCATAATCACACCCTGCTCACTGGTGCAGTGCCCCATTCACTGGCATCCTCAAGGGTCTGAGATCTGCAAGTGGGGGCTGTTAAGAAGTACATTCATTTCCCTACAAGTCCAAGGCAGCAGCAGTGCTTTCTGTCATATTTCCCATTATCCGCTGCCTGGTCCAAAACTTCCAATTCCGTTCAGCAGTGCTGCATTTTTCCTTTGCAGTAAGTTATTAACCAGGGTGGATGAAGTATTGAGAGACTTTTCTTTGTCTGGGCTTCAGCCATTGCTGATTTGAAAACCTCGTGTTTCATTGAGTAATCCCAGATCTCACTTTGAGGGAGCGTTCATGTTAGTTCTGCAACCACCTAATGTGACAGATGGTAACGTCAGGTCAGACTTGCAGGTCAGGCTTCTAGGACCCCGAGATAAGGCAGTTGTTATTTTCACATCTTAGTCAAGTCAAGCCTTCCTTATCCTCTCCTTTTTCTGGTTTTTTTTTTCTCTCCCCCCCACCCCCAAACAGTTTATTTACTTTTCTAATGGTTCTGTATTTCTAGCTAGCACTCAGTACACAAACAAAACAGCACTAATCTTATCACCAGGCCATCTCAGTTAATTGCTTTAAGTTTGATAGTCACATAAGAATCTGAATCTCAAGTATTGAGCCATTTTTAAGAAATGGAGAGCTGATAGAAGTCTACACAGTTGTTTGCTGAGATAGCAATGCATTTAAGCTTAAAGTGAGTCACTGGGACTGATCAGATGTGTAACAGCTTTACTGTATGCTCCTTAAGGGCACTGCTAGAAAGACCTAGAAAATGTGTGTCCTGGCTGACATTGGAGGACTTGGAGAGATATTCTGGAGCCCATCAACTTCTGCTTTCAGGATGCTGAATTCATTTGACTGCCACCAGAAATGAATTTTTCCCTTTTCCCATGTCACTTTCCCTTCTTTCTAAAGTGTGAAAGTATGTGAGCTGTAAGCATAAATGCAAACACAGTGAGCTGTTACATTGCACATTCCATGCAGATATTTGGTGGCACTGAGCCCAAAAGCTTCCATGCCCTTACCTTTGCTCTGTAGTTTTTCATTGCTCATCTCTTTAATTGCAGTTAAACTTTAAAGCACTCTAGTTTTGTCTGAAGTGCTGAAACTGGGCTGGAGGGAAAACATCACAGTTATCTTTGAAGCTTAGTCCTTGGAGATGAACCAGTTGCTGAACTTCAGAGGACATGGCAGTGTCCCTCTGCAGATCAGACTGCTAACCTTCATAAAGTGATTGGGCTGCTCAGGCAGTCCTGTCTTCCATGGAACAAGAAAAGTATTCTTTTTACACTGTCACTTTAAAAATATTAATTTAACTGGGATTTTAAGAACTCTTGTCTTAATGGTTAGATTACCTACAGAAAAAAATTGCATGTTGAAGGATCAGGCTTCCTCAAAAGAGCCAGAGCACTGGACATGTCTGCCATCCTTCTTACATGGAACTCTTTCTTCAAGGTAAATACGGTTAGAAATGCAGAGTCCTCCCAGTAAAGAAATGTTCAGTGTTATGGGCTTTGGGAGAAGGGCCTGGAGGACACTGGCCATCGTGGAATCTCAAAGTGTGGTGGTAGGCAAGGTAGACGGAAGGCCCAGAGATCACAGGCGAACATCAGTGGCCTGCTGACCCGTGAAAGCTGTTGAAGCTTGCTAGCAATGTGCTTCGAAATGAGGCAGTTCGAAGATGACAGCTAATCTTCAGCCCAGTCTGAAAGCTCTGCCACACTAAAAACATAAGGGAGAAGAGGACATGGCCAGCTAAGCAATAGAATAGGAGTGGTTGAGCAGATGCAAGTCTGAAGTAGAAATTGCTTCATGGGCAAAAAATTTAGAAATTTTTTCTGAAGCCTCTTTGCAACTCGTGACTACCGTGCAGGCTGGCAAAGAATGGAAGCAAACTTAGATGCTGCAGCAATCATACTGCTGGCATCTCTTTGAACCCTAAAGTGGAACCAGAAGGGAAAGAAAGATCCTTTCTCTGCGTCATACATGACTCTGAACTGGACACAAGCCTGAACACACTGAGAGAACGGTTCTTCAGCCAACCTGTCTCTTGAACAAAGCCCTTCAAAATGCTCTGCAGCCTATTTGAGGAAGGGTAGTAGGTTTGATACTCAAAGAAAAGCAGTGATGGTGTGTCCTTCCAAATGGATGTAGATCTGGAGTCTCTTTTAGAGTCCACCTAAAAGGGCCATTAATATCTTTCTCATTCCTCTCAATCTCAGAAAGCCCAGCAACTTCTCTCTGTGAGTGAGCCCAAGCATATGCTCACACACGCCAGATTTTGGGCAAGTTCATATTTGCATCCAAAGAGTTGTTTCCCCATCTGTTCTTGTTGGTTATTGCAGGCCGTTCTCTGGAGTGAGGTATTCTGGCTGCCATAACATCTGTGAGTGTTGTAATGAGGTTGGTTAGAATGTAACTCACTGAAGCAGCAAGAACTAATCACTGTATATTGATATAAGATGTGCAGAGCCTTAGATGGAGAGTGCTGTAATAATCTTCTGGGTGTGCGTATGGAGTGGGGGGTGGAGGGAATTGGGTATGTACACGTGTGGTAGTAAAATTACTCATTAGCTGCAGTAGGTCTCATTATCTTAGGGAAGCACATCAATGATTCACTGCTTAACAGAGTGTTTGGAAATGCCTGCTTATATGCAGAAGGCAGCCCAAACCAATATCCTGTACAGTCCATGAGCACCTGTCTCAGATTGAGGGAATTTTAACTGCTTCTATTTTCTCTCCCAGATATTGGAACTCCCTGAGTAATCTCGTGGCTTCACTCCTGAACTCAGTTCGCTCCATTGCCTCCCTGTTGCTGCTTCTCTTCCTCTTCATTATCATCTTCTCGCTCCTGGGGATGCAGCTCTTTGGGGGCAAGTTTAACTTTGATGAGATGCAGACCAGGAGGAGTACATTTGACAACTTCCCTCAGTCCCTCCTCACAGTGTTTCAGGTAAGGGCACGAGTGGTCCCAGTGGGGCCAACACTTTGTGTTTGTGTGGGGCAAGACAAGCCCTGCACCCTTCCCCTGCAGCCTGACAGTCCCCAGGACTGGACAGCACACTAACAGCTCCAGGAGCAAGGTGCCACACTGTGCTGCCAGCACAGTATTACAGTGGGTATTCCCTCCCAAAGTGGGGAACCAAAGATAAAACCTCTGTGTGTTCCAAGGCCATCAAGTCTTAACAGGGTAGGACAAGAGAAGGGCCATTTTCATGTCCCAGGGCAACAAACCAAAGCCCAACCCCTCCACTGTACTGGGGAACAAAAATCCTCTCACAGCACCACAGAATTCATCAAATGACCATAAGCTGACTGCAGTTTTGGGAGTGATCCACCAAGAGCATGAGGATCGTGATTTCATTCACATGCAAAACGAAGGGAAGTGGCAGGGAGTGCTGTCTTAGGGCAGTGCTACAGGTTGTGCAGCCTGTCTGAAACAACAGACACGTGGGAGGGAAATGCCTGGGAAAAAGTGGGAAGATTTGAACAGAGTTGTGTGGGAGAGCCGTTTGCCTTCAGCCATCATCTTCAAGGGGACATCTGTTTGGGTTTTTTCACACTTCGAACGCAGGACTTCTTTGCATGCTCCTTGTTCTGTGGTTTGTTGTTTGTTTTTTAATTTAATTTTCTAGATGGACACAGCCAGAATCGCCAACCATCCTGGGGGAGGGGGTGCTCTTTAGGACAATAGATATCTTTGTGTTAATGGGGTTTTCAAATTCTCTGTGTGGTCTAACACTGTATCCCTTATTGGTGGGAATGTGTCATTTAGATCCTGACTGGGGAGGACTGGAATTCGGTGATGTATGATGGGATCATGGCTTATGGCGGCCCCTCTTTTCCAGGAATGTTGGTCTGTATTTACTTCATCATCCTCTTCATCTGTGGAAACTGTATCCTTTGATGCTACTCTTTTCTGCAAGAGGGGCTGAATTTAAAGCCACCATTTACTTTGTCATGTCAGAAAATAATGAGTTTCATATCTCACGTTTTTACCTTTTCCCTAGGTCTGAATTTTGGCTTTACACTGCCTAAAGTTAAACAAGTTTGTTTAATTTTAGCTACTGCTAAGGCATATAGACACTTGTAAGAGCCAACCACGTGCCAGTTCCACGTGCTAGCTTTTATTTTATATTTTCACATGTTTAGTGTTTTTATTTTTCATTCCCCTTAATTCTGTTGTAGGTTTTCTTTCCTGACTTCTTCAGATACTAATCTATGTGTGTTCCTACTGTACTTACTGAATATTTTTTGCTTCAATTGCTTTTTTAGTAATATATTCCATGTGCTTTCATCCAAGCCTTATGTGGAATAAAAATATGTATAATCTACAATATGCTATATACAAATGCTGTAATAGGAGTAACATATGTTTGACATAATTGATTTATGTGAGATCATACATTAATTCATGTGTAAACTCACAGGACCCATGTTCCATTTCAGTTGCTGCAATCTGTGTGTTCTTCAAACAGAAAATCCTGTGCTCTGTTATCTTCCAGCCTATGCTGGTCTTAAGTAACTTGAGTTCTCTCTGGCTTCAAGGTGAGGTGAGGGCACTGTGCATATCCCAGGAGGTATAAAGCACATTGCATGATTAGGCTCTGAGTGTCTCTTCACAGCAATTTGCAAATAACATAGAGCTGTGGTTCTGTTCCATATCTCAGTTTGCTCCAAATTTGTCCATGTTTAGTTTCTGCTTCCCTAATAAATGGCCCTCCTGTGTCAGAGGTGACATTTCATTTTATACTGGTGCTTCTATAAAGCCACCTTGTGGACTCAGCCCAACTCTTCTGGCCTTTGTTCATAATTCAGATCTCTCAAACCCTGTTATTTGACATTTCAGTTGACCTGCATACCCTCACTTCAAAGTGAGATGGTGCAATTCCACTTATCTGAAGGTCAAGGTAGGCAATCTTCCTGACAGCTTAAAAAAAGCTACAATTTGGATCTCCTTGTGAAAATGTGAGCCAAGTCTACACGCTGGCTGACTTTGGAGCCATTAGACCTTGGAGCCCAGGGAGGGGGGTGTCTGTGTTTCCAGGCTGAGCCTTGAACCGGGGTTTGCTTAAAAGTTATCATGGTGTAATAAGACCTAAGCTCAAGAAATTTATAAAACAAGCTGATATTCAGATTTGTAACACAAGACCTGAACACTGACTCATAACACAAGAAAACAGTTGTGATTCCTTGCCCTTAAGCTACACAGGCATGACTGGCCATGCATGGACTCTCTGCTAGGAGATGTCAGAGTTGTCAACTCAACTCTTCACTGTCCAGACTAAATTAACCTCAGAAATGCTCATCAGAGTGATATGCTTGCTGTCCATAAAATCCATTCATGTGACCTAAGCTGTCAAAGATGCAAAGCATTTAGTGCTCCCCTTATCTTCTGTGGGATTTGTTGCACAAAGTGATGCTCTTTTGGGATGTTGGAAACTAAAATATAAGCCTGGACTTAGATGTTTTATATCAGTCGTTCTGTTGTGAAATTTTGGAAACCCGCAGTGTGTTAACTATGTGGATGGAAGGTGTAGGTTTGTGCATGCTGGATATGCACATCCTGAGCAGTTGTGTGAAATGGAAGTTTGGAAAATCCAAGACACATGATGACAGGTTGCTAAAAATTTTTCAATTAAGAAACCCTTGGTATAATCTTTTCCTGCAGTTTTCAAAGCCAGTTTTCTTTAAGTACACACAAACAGATATCCTGCTGAATGTATTTTTGGCCATTGCTGTGGACAACCTTGCTGATGCTGAGAGTTTAACATCTGCACAGAAAGAGGAGGAAGAGGAAAAAGAAAGGAAAAAGCTAGCAAGGTAAATCCATTTGCATACAACTATCTGCACTCGTGCTATATTCCTGTGAGTGTAATTACACAGGATACATATACATAGGTATATGATGCATATATATGTGCATAAATATGATACATATACCTATGTATATGTATGTTTATCTTCTCTGTGTGTATATGGGTTATACATATGTGATTAATGTAATTATGTATATATAAATTTTTACGTAAAGGAATTCACACTGTAAGACAAGAAAGTGCCATGAGCTGGGAGTCCCCACAGTTGCAGTGATGTGAACAGGGAAAAGGAAGTCTGGGTGACTGATGAGCTTTCAGAGCATCAGGAGAGAATGAGTGTGAAATGGTGTCAATGTTACAATCCCATTTGAATCTCCCTATTATCTTCCAATTGCTTTGGGCCACAAAGCGTATTTTCAGACTGTCATTCCCACTACAAGATTCAGCAGCTTCCTTTTCTTTTGATGCCACATGCTGTTCTTCTCATGCCAGTTCTTTTAGTGTTTCCATAGACACTTAAGAGGCACGAGCTGGATGTGGAGCTTCTCTGTCATTCCCAGCTGCCAACAGCAGGGAAGCCTCTCCTTACTGGTTATTTCCATTCACTGTCTTCCAGGCTGCTTGGAGGGGATCTCTTGTGCAGATCTTTCTGTTTCATCCTGCGTGCTACTCAGCAGATTTCCCTCCCTCTGGGAGTGCAGAGAGGGGCAAAACCTTTGTAGGCAACCGAGGGGAAGATAAGAGATGAAAATGGTCCATGCCTTTGTCATTGGGTGAACAAAGAGATCTCTGCTGACAGACCTAGAATATGCACATGCACAAACACACAGGCACATACTTCCCTCACACACACACACACACTCACACACAAACACACTCACATGCCATTGTGAAAGCTACAAAATAAAGGACACTATACAGAATTAGAGCAGAGCCTCTGCCTTTGCCTGTGGATGAGGACAAGGTGGAGCCACTGGGCTCAGAATGGAGATGCCAGCTGATTGTTCTCATGGTGTGTGCTGTATTACATGAAGTCCCTAAAAGGGAAACAAGCTGTTCACCTTTGTAACTCTCTGCTTTTTATCTTGTGAAATTGTTAGAACTGCAAGTCCTGAAAAGAAACAGGAGATGGAAAAAACAGCTGTGGAGGAAGAGACGAAGGAGGAGAAAATTGAGCTGAAATCGATCACCGCTGATGGAGAATCCCCACCTGCTACCAAGGTAAGGTCTGCTACCAGCCAGGCACTCTGTGCACTGATGGCATGAGCAGCCTGGGTTTCTGAGGGAATGAAAACTGTCTGCCTTGTCTGATAAAGGCTTTGATGCTTCTCTTTCCATTTCTGTCAGATCAATGTGGATGATTATCAGCCCAATGAAAATGAAGAAAAGAGCCCATATCCCACAACGGAAGCACCAGGTATACATCTTCTTCCTCTTATCCCTGATCTGACAAAGAGAAGCTCCAGTTGCTAATGCACATAAAGCCAAATTGTGGTAGCAGGCATGCTGAACATGTAATGCTTTCATGATGGGACAGAGTGATGTGCTTGCCTGTGTTTGCACAGGTGTGGACTTGGTCCTTTGCAGTCCCTGTACTGATTGGTCATCTTTCATTTGGTTCTCTGTGAAACTCTTTATTGGGAAATGCAGAGCTTTGCAGAGAACCAAATCAAATCATATGAAAATCTTTGCATTTGAAAATATACATGTGACTTTGTTTTCAGTGTGTTTTTCAGTACTCAATGGTCAGGGAGACTCACGAGAGATAGTCATAAAAGGGAAAGTGTTGAATGCCTTTTTGTGCTGTTTTCTAATCAAAAAGGACAGTGTGACATTAAAATAACTCTAATGGCATAAGACTTCAGCACAGAATGGGAGGAATCAAACTATAGCATTAGTTAGGCTGATTTTCAAGTCAATTGGGCCTAATTAACATCATCCTCAGATACCTGGTCTAAGAAATCTCAGGACTTCAAGCAGTTTTTCTTCAAGAGATCCTGAATGGGGGGTGGGGTTGGAGCTAGTCAGTTCAACTTCCATTCTTGGAAAAGTGCTTGAAAAAATGATTAAACAAAGTATATGACTGCAAGATAAGGAGATGACTAGCAGCCAACACAGATTTGCCAAGAGCAACTCACATGAAACCACCCTGATTTTCTTCTAGAAGGGGCTGAAAATACTGGTACGTGAGAGAAAAGAAGTAGGTGTCGTATTCTTTTACATTTTGCTAAGGCTTCTGACCAACTCTTGTAGCGTTCTCAGAAGCTGGCTAGAAAATTATGGTCTGGATGATTGTGAGAGAATTTGATCCAACCCTTTATGTGGAGGGTATTGATAGCCCAAGTGAGCCTCTACAACCCAAAAGCCTGTCTGGAGTTCACTTCAGTTCATTGTTAATGACCTGAATGATGGAAGAGGCAATATGCTTATTACATTTGTAGATGACATGGAGCTAGGAAGGACACAAAGCATGCTGGAGGGCAGCATTAGAATTCAAAGAGCTGTTGAGGTCCTGGATAAATGGTCTAAATAAAATTGAAAGTGCCAGGCTCTATACGTAGACAGGAATAAACAATTCACAAATAAAGGATCTCAGGTGACAGCTAGTTAGGTAACAGTCCTTGAGAAAAGAATCTCAGTCTTATGATCACAAGCTCAACAGTTTGCCAGCAACAGTTTGCTGTCTTTCAAAAGGCAAGCAAGTAGTGAGATTTATAAACAGAGAAAACCAAACCTTTTTATGCAGTTATGGGCTTCTTTTAAGTGGTCAGTGAAAGCTAATCAGAGCAAAGCAATTGTTCTATTGTGTTCTCTGCTGGAATATCATATCTTGTTTTGGGCGCTCCGACTGGAAAAAGTATAGAAGAGAATGGTGAAAACAATGCTAGTAGGAGGCAAGAACTGAGATTGAATGAACTGTGATAATCTGAGTTAGGAAAGGCAGGAGAAACACCTTCAAATGCATAAAAATCTGCTACAGGTAGGAGGGAAATTATCTCCATTATCAAATAATACATTTAAGATTCACACCAGAGAGAATTTTCTAATGGTGAGGCTAGAAAAGATCACAGAGATGGCTGTGGAATTCCAGCGTCACTGAATGCTGTTAGGAACAAGTCAGAAAAATGTCTTCCAGAAAAGGCTTAGATATAATAGTTAATTGATCCTGGCCTGGCATAAGCATGAACCAGAGGGCCTTTTGTGGTCCTTTCCTGCTCTGCTCTTACATGTTTCTATGATTATGTAACAGGCTATAATAGGTTATGAAACACATTCTCTTCTATTCCATGATTCCTAATAAATAAATGTCTGATAATAGGTTGATGTGGCAGGGTAAAAAAGAACACAATAGTTCATTTTAAGTAGATGGGCAAGGGTTTCAGACAAGCAAAATGGAAAACTCTTCATTGCATTTGACTTTCAGTACGAAAAGTCCCCACGTTTGCTATACTTGTATTCTTCCATATTTATAGCCAATTTATCAGGAATAGAATGTGGTTCTAACTCTATGCAAGAGTGTTTTAACATTGCCTGGGGGAGATGCCTCTGGCTTTAATCTTCCCATCACCTCTGTAGGCACAGGCACTTACTGGACACATATCCCCAGTTGCTAAGGGGTTTGCAGGAGTCTTTAGTTAGGACAAATTAAAACAGCTCCATACAGTTCTGTTTCAGTTTCTCAGCTGGCCTGGATTTGCAGGCCATTACATTTTTTTCAGGTGAAGCAACAGTCATCTGTATCAATTTTAAGTCTACTGCTAATAGAATTGGAGTTTAGTTTTGCCTTCTGTGGATAGCTTAGAAATAGTCCAGCATATGAAATATGTGACAAAAGCTACATCTATATTCATTTTTTGTCATTCAGCCATGCATAGAATTAAAGTGTGGAAAATTAAGTGAAAACACTTTTAACTCCTGCCTTGGGGTGCCAATCCCTGACTTAATATACTTTTGAACACAACCTAAAATTTGAATGGATGATCAGGTTTTCTCCTGTTTCCTGTTAGAAACGCAAAGGGACACCATCTTGGTTACTTTGTGAAGAGTGAAGTTGATCTCTAACAGCTCACTAAATTACCTGACCACTTCTTTCAGACTTCATGGAAGACAACCATAAGGCTCAGATGCCAGTAAAGTTTTGTAAATCCCTTATTAAGTCAGATTTACCATAGTCATCTGTTCCCTTCTGCTGTATAAAGCTCAGAAACACCAGGGTACTCTCAGAGCTGATATGACATGTCACCTCTGCCTTGTGTAGTTGCTTCTGGAGAACAAGGCTTCAAGGCTTCCCCTGGCACTAGCAAGCAAGAATTTCCTAATCCCCACATGTATCCCTGCCCAGTTCCCTTGTGGCCATCTGACCAGCCCAGAATCCTTCTGCTGATTGCCAGTCAGTCCAGCTGTGGTACAGGAGATGCTGTGCAGCCATATACAGCCCATCTGGGAACACACCTTTTCCTGCCCACTTGCACGTAGATCCATTTTCAGCTGTGCTTTAAGTGACACATCCTGTTGTTTCTTAGATGCAGTCAGTTGGTTCTACCTATTTTCTGTTTCTGATTTAAGCTGTTAGTGCCTGTGACCTTTCCATGACTGTGTACCATTCCATCCTCTGAAAACATCCTTCACCCTAATCCAGTGTTCAGAAACAATTTGAAATGGTCACCTCATTTTTTTTTCTTTATTCTTTCAAACTACCTTGTTTGGGTTCTAATTTGTTTCTTCTTCTCAACCAGTTTTCTCAATAACCTCTTCTGGCTCTATTTGCTGCACAGTGTTGCTCATAGGCCCCAGAGTACCCTGTGTACTTGCAGCTCCTCAGATCACCTAGCCCCTTTTTTTGGAAGGACAGACTAGTTCTTCCAGAGATTTGTGTACACTAGAAGAATTATTATGATGATATGTTTATTATAAGAAGACAGGGAGCTAGTCTTGCAGTCTAGTACAGAAATAGACAAGGAATTCAGAACGTCAAATGAAGGTAAAAGCTCGGGGATGATTCATGGGAGCTTGAAGCAAAGCAATGTCCTTATACAAGAGTTCTGGTTTTCGTACAGTAAAAAAAAAAAATATCCCCATCATCAAATTTCTCACTGATGCTGCACTGTAGCCTGTGTTTGTCTTCACAGCCAGAGAACTTCTGCTTCTACAAATGTGAGCAACTATGCAGGTTCTATGTGCAGGTAGATACTTTACAAACTGACGTGAGGTTGTTCTCATGTTGTTCTTTGCGAACTGGGGGCCTCGCTGTTTCCTTTCTTCTCTGCCCCAGACTCTACTTTAAGTGAAAGATGTTTAGAACGTTATTCTTTATCTATGGCTGAGGAACTGAATGTGTTTTTCAATCTGAAGGTATGTGGTTGCCAGAATCATTAATGTATTTCCTGCTGAATGGCAGACAGGAGAAAAAGAGGAGAGGAGCAACGTTCTTTATGGTCTTCATGGGGCTGATCCTTTTGCTAAGGGTCCATTTTCCTGAGGCATTGTTCCATATCCATTTAAAAGGGTATTTAAGCATTCCTCTGAGTAAAAGAAGTAGAATGATCCAATAGTGAAGGTGCAGAACAGGGACTCAGAATACTAGTCTTTTTAAGTAAGAATCTCAAATATCCCACATGGGCAGTGGTTTTCTGGCCTGTTATAGAAGAAAAGGAATCTTTTTACATCGCTCATTGTCAGTCTGCTCTGAAACCTGTAGGTAAAAGGTATAAGTGCAAAGTATGGAATATTGTATAAATATGAGCATTGACATTAACACCTGCTTTACAAGTACTATGTAAAAAAGTACTTGTAAAAGAATGTTTCTTTTACTAATAAAGCCTGTATAAAGAGTATTATAAAGTATATTACACATTAATTGAGCTGTTAAAAAATAGACTAACTGAATAAGTACAAACTCTGTGTACCAGCTCAAACATTCATGAAAAGATCTATCAAGTGAATTTGAGCTGAACTCTTGGTACTGGAAGTGTAAAGAAAGAATCCTATTTGCATGTAATAATGGCAAGCATTCAAAAAGGGCACTTTTCTCCTGTCTCTGATATCTAGATTAGGATCTGTGCTGATTCATCTGTTCTTTCTGATGTGTCCTGTAACGAGATCAAGTACCTCACCCTGAAGGAACAATCTTTTCCTGGAATTTATCTCCCTTTATGAACTCAGGATGAACCTTTTAACTAGAGTTTCCTCCTTTGCATTGCCTGGAAGATGAACCAGCTTCATCTAACCTGTCGGACTCCTTTCTTGAAGTATATTTTTTTCTGTCCTGCTGATTAAGCAAGAGGATTGGGATCTTTTAAAACAGCAAAATCCTATCATGTTGTTTACAAAACAACATCTGACTTCAGCAGGTAGAAGGAATCCTCAAAGGTGGAAGCTTCTCTTTCACACAACCCTTAGACCCCCTCTCTGCATTTTTTATCCCGAGGTTGCTCATTGTTCAGCACAAGGCCTGGAGATCTGCTCCAGAGGCATCAGGTTCAAGACTCTCAGCAGTCTCAGCCTCTTTCCCACCTTTTTAATCTTCCCCCCACTAAATTATGAAAGAGGACAATTTTTAAGACCTTCTGATCGGTGTCATTCAGTGTGCCCATGCTCAGTGTTTACTCTGTACATGCACTCATCCAGACACAGTCCCAGATGTGGCAGTGGCTCCATGGAGATCCTCACAAATAGGAGAAAAACAGAACTTGATAAACTGGAGGAATGGTCTGAAGAAAAAAAGATGCGGTTCAATAAGGCTGAGATCCAAGTGCCACTCTTGGGAATAGTCAGTGGCAGAAATGCAGAGGGGGAGTGACAGCCTAGACAGTTGTTCTGTGATAAATAATCTGTACTTGGTGCATATCAGAAACTGATGGCAAATTAATGCCAGAGTGTAATGAAAAGTGCCCATGAAGGACATTTAAGCAGGAAGATAGTGTAAGATATAATAAGTATTCCAACTCTCCTGCACCAGTGAAACCTCAACTGCAGATTAATCCTGCACATAATCTGGAAGAAAGTAGCAAGGGTGATCAGAGACCTGGAGAACACAGCACCTCAGGAAAGACTGTTGCTGTTTTGCTCTAGGATTAAGATATTCTCACAGAGGCATATTAATTGTCCTTGAGTATGTAAAAGCCTTCTGCAAGAGGAAGATTTTTCAATTCTCAATTTTCTGTGTGCGTGGAAAGTAAGAAAACAGATACTGGATTTAGACCATAGCAAGAAAGGTACAAGTGAGTCATTAGAAGCTTTTTTTTTTTTTTGCAGTGAAGTATCTGAGGAGAGTGTTGTGAGAATATTGTGGGTTTACCAGCATTAATGGTTTTACAGAGAGACTAGATCAATGTTTGCCAGGGCAAGCACTGGGCAACAAATGCTGCCTTGGGAGAAGGAAGTGGACAAGGAACCTCAAGTTTTAGCATCCTATTTCAATGGTTCTTAGCTTTTAGCTCTAGTTATGACAGAGACAAATGCCCCAGCACTGCAGAATGGGTTATATTTTGCATTAAAAGACAAAAATGTTTCTTGCAGCAGAGGAAGATGAGGAAGAACCTGAGATGCCTGTCGGCCCTCGGCCTCGCCCAATGTCTGAGCTGCACCTCAAGGAAAAGGCTGTTCCCATGCCTGATGCCAGTGCTTTTTTCATCTTCAGTCCTAATAACAGGTATTTAAGAGACTGCTTAGCTGGAAGAAGGAGGTAAAGAGCAGGTACCCCTTTCATGTTGGGCCCCAAAGGTTATGAGGTGCAGAGCTCCCTTTCAGCAATTCATACCAGAGACCTTCTTTGACCCCTCTCTCCTTTAAAGGCCCTGGCATGAAGTCCTCATGAAAGCACAACTGTAGGGACCCCCCTGACAATATTCAGTGGGAGTTCATGGCACCTGCAAAGCTGACTGAAGACACAAATCATGAAAGCTTCAGAAATAAGGGACTTGGAGGCAAATCAGTAATTGGAATTCCCCTACATATTCAGATCCAAATTGCAAGAGAGCCATCATGGAATTAATCAAGTGTGAGGTAGGAGCTTCCTGTCCTAAGGGCTGCTCAAAATCCACTCCCAGTACAGAGTTCATGTGTCTCTGCTCATTGCTGCACATCAAGAATGAGCATAAAATTAAAAATAGGAAGAGGAGGAGGAGAATCCATAGCTCTGAGGGGAGTCTAAGGAGAACATACTTTCCCATGGGCTCCTGCAATGCAGCTTCACGTCGTGCCACCTGTCTTTCCAAAATAGCTGTGCAAGGCTAGTACTGTGAATGGAGGGTTGTTATGACACAGGGGAATTTATCTTTCCAAGGGTACAGAAATGAGCTCACTGCCCACTGGTCTGTGCAAGATCATGTACCCCAGTATCTCTCTTGAGGGCTCAGCCTCCAGACACAGCCCCAGAGCAAGACAGGGCTGTAAAAGCACTGTTGAATTCAGAGCCAGTTTTTCCACAGCAGAGCTTGTGCCACTCCTCCTTGGGTATGTGTAACAGGGAGGGACTGAGGATGATTGGGACTCGTGGACTCTAATGCCAGCTTTGCCACCCACCCACTGTCATTTGTAGAAGAAGTAAATTAACCTCTGCAGTCATCTGTAAAATTACTATAATAGGGACTGGGAGACTTAACAGCTAAGAGTAGAACTAAATAGATTAATGAAGTGCCTCTAGAATTAATGCACAGGGCTGTTATGAGGTTTAACTCCTCATGTCTTGATACCAATGTATGGAAAGTGCTGTAATGGTCTCCAATAAGCAAGTTGCCATTTGATGGGAGACTGCTCCTTCCTTACCTGCTAGTTTCCCACTAAGAGCACCAAGCCTGCATGGCATGGTGTCCTCTCAGAAGCCATTTGCAAATGCCAGCCTGCCCTATATCCATTTGGCTAGGCCTGTACCCTGTTAGCAAGGTAGACCCCCACAGCTCCTGTTAAGTGACGCTCCAGCCCCAGCTCAGAAAGACACTGGAACTCCAGAGCCTGTTTCTGCTGCTTTCCTCCCAGATGAATGAGGACTGGTTCTGTGAATGAAAGCAAGGGGTATAATTTTGGGTTGGCAGTTTTCAGACCACATGGAAATCACAAAAGGCTCTGTCAGGACAGAGTGACTGTTCTCCATTCAAACACACTGAATGTGAGTCCTGCATGATGTGGAGAGCCAAGGCTGCCCGGTACAGCTGCCTGGGGCCATCATTCTCCCTGCTGTTGGGGCAGAGGGAAGGTGCTCTGCAGAGCAGTCCTCTGGGGCCAGTCCTGCTGGCAAAAGAGGATTGAGGGGAAAATGTTTCCCAAGTCTTGCTGTTCTTTGAGAGATAAAGTTGTGCCTCTCCTCTCTCTTGCAGGTTTCGTGTCCACTGCCATCGAATCGTTAACGATAACATTTTCACCAACCTGATCCTATTTTTCATCTTGCTCAGCAGCATCTCCCTGGCAGCTGAGGACCCCGTCCGACACCTCTCCTTTAGGAACCAAGTATGCTTCACATCCTCCTTCCCTCGCTGGGTATTAAAAGTGTGGTATAAGCAGATCATGAGTTGAAGCCGGGAAAGGCAGAAAAGACTGCATCAGAGGCTTTGGGAGTGCCTGTCTTCTGTGATTTGTGCCTTTTGTAGGCTGTGTGTGAAATCATTGGGCTTTGCAGGGAACATGAGTCAGTGCAGAATTTGGCCTCTAGTTCATTTCAGAACCGTGTGTAGGGGAAGGAAGAAGAGGAGGCTGAAGCAAAATTATTGTTCCCTGGGATTAAGGCGTTATAAATGAGCTGTAAAAACATTGATTGGGATACAGATAATTCTAATTTGAGGGATTTTCAGATTCCCTTTGGAACATTTACTCTGCTGCCACATGCTGTCTTTTGAACTAAAATCCCTGATTTTTACTTTATTCACACTGGTTTAAATCAGGAGTAACATTCTTGAGTTTGATGCAGTCACTCTGGGGAAAATTGATGTCATCAAGGTTAGAATCAGACTATTTGAACACAAGCTGCAAAGCTATTATTAAAGTTGAGATAATCCTCAAAAAATATGCTGTGCTCCTCTCCTTACCAGCCTGGGGGGAGAAGAGGAAGGCATTCACCACAGAGGTACATTCCCACCTTCCTTCCTCACCATTCTTATTAGCTTTTTGAAATGTTCAGTGCTCCCTTAACTTTGCCAGTGGTTGTTTCCATCAATCTGGGGTCATTGCAGAAATCAGAAGAGCCAGCAGACATATATGAGACTTCATATCCCTGCTGTCTGCAGTGGCATTTTGGTGAAGAGTTCACTAGGCTTGAAGAGTTTGCTAAGCTTAAAGAGTAGGACGACTTTTTGTGGTTTAATAATAAAACCTTAATTTAATGCTCCCTGAAATATCCTGGCCTGAGCATGCATTTAAACACATATGTGCATGCAGAGAAGGTGTTAGTGGCAATTTATTCCCCAGCTTATCTCAGAGTAGCTTTGCATTTTGTCCTGAAAAATGGTGCTAAATAATACAGCCAAACCTGTGCCACCAAGGACCCCACTTGTGCACAGATGAGTGTGCCCACCATGCAGGGATAACTGCATGTCAGTATGAATTAGTGCTGCAGCATCTCAGCTGGCAGATGGGCTTCTGACATGCCACAGAAGCTGTCACAGAATCTGTAGCAGAGAGATTTAAATGAGTAGGAAAAAAAAAGAAAAGGAGTTAAAGCTTGTTGTCCTGGATTAAAGAGCTGAAGGTTTGGGGCAAAGAGTTGTTTCGTGTATTTGAAGCCACTGATGTTGCATGAAAATCTGTGTTTAATTTTTGCAGGTACAGATGTTTAAAGTGTATCATACAAGGGGACACTGACAAGATGTTTGGGTTGCAAATGTGGTCTGCATTTAACAGTAGAACAGTAAGATTGTGCCCTACCCTGTGCCCACACAGAGGACTGGGAGGGGAAAAAAAGAAAGCAATCTGAAAGCAAGGCACCTGCCTCTGCTTTCGCTCTGAGACTTGTGCAGACCAGGGCTGCTGTTGGCACAAACCATCCCAGAGCAAGGAGACAGGAACAGAGAGCCCAGAAAAGGCTAGTGAAGAGGCTTGGACGCTGCTTCTGTCCTGGGGCAGGCTGGTGGCTGTGTTCTTCTGGTGTCACACAGGGCTCAAGCAGCAAGTTTTTGGAAGTGCCCCCCCAGTCTGATCAAACAGCCTTTGAAGCCCAAGCGAGTCCTAAGACTGTGTGCTCACAATATTCTCCTGTTTGCACCTTGGTAAGGTGCTTATTCATTTTACTATTTTCTAGGGTAAATTCCTATTTAAATAATAATGAATATGCCAGCTGATAAATGGTACTGCCTGCATAGGTGGAGCAGTGATCATTTTCAGTGGGCATGATTTCATCTGTCAGGGACATCTTTACTAGCTGCAGCTTTGGGGCCAGATTCACCACTATGTTCTAGCTCCTTTGCAGTGCTCTGGTGATGTAAAGCAGCAGCAGGTACAGCTTAATCATCCACTTTAATCAAGTTTACAGATGCTTTATATTGATGGAGTCATGCAAGGCAGCCTGAGAATACCCATGAATCTGGCCCATTGATTATGAAATTATTCCATTGGTATAATGACCAAATGTCAAGACCTACAAAGCAGCAATGCAATAGGATATTGCCAGTTATAATGTAAATTAATATAGGGTGCAGTTTATATCTATCCCCCTTGAAGTGACCCTGTTTTAATTCTCTAAGTTGCAAAAATTTGTAGAGCCCATGATGGCCTTGGGATTAAAAAATACACAGTGACCTAAAGAATTTTAATACACAGTAGCAGTGATACATCCCCCCATTTGACATCCAGTGTCTGCAAATCAATCCAGATTTGGATTATGCTTAAATAGTGCAATGTGATATAACCCTGTAGTTTGCAGTAGCTGCCCCACTGCCCTTTCATACCATGCTGTAAAATCTGAGTGAGGGTGTGCAGGCTCTGAGCTACAATAAACACCTGTGGGATGGGAGAGGGCAATTTCCTGTTTTATGTTTATTAGTGTGTTAGCAGTAAAGGTTTACATTTCACAAATTATAAATTTTCTACAGCTTCCATATATTGGCCTTCCAATTTAGAACTCGATTGTGGTAAAAGAGCACTAACCATGAGCACACAAAGCTTTGATATTCAGCATCTGTAGTGTAGATAGCACTAAAGTGGCTTGGAATATTAAAATATATTGGAAACTAAGACAGTTCAATTCTGGTCCCATTAGTCAATGAGAAAGTACCCATTTGCTGCAGTGGGTTGTCAATTGATTGGCAGTGAAAGACATTTCTGTCCCTGATGCTGCTACTGTGAAAGCCCCTTTACACTTCCAAACTTGCTGTTGCCTTCTGTGACACTCTAGGGCCACTCTTTGTGGTCTGCTGTATGTGCCATGGGTATCTCCATCACCAGGTCTAGATTTCTGGGAATGAAGAGTGTTTCAACCTGCTTGTTATCCAGGATGCCAAAGGAAAGATGTGAGATCTAAGCTGGGCACCTTTAGCACATGACCAAATTATGGTTGCAATGCAGTGGCTGGGATTCTGTTCAATTGGCAGAGTCTTTGTGATTCATCCTAATCCAGGGAAATTCAGGATAGAGAAAAAAATAGCTCAAGTATGAATTTGTAGTTTGCTTTTCTTCCTTTGAGAGAGAGCATGGGGCAAGCCTGCATGAAAGTTAATAAGAAGAAATCTCATGTTTTCCACTGAGAGGCCAGGCATTCTTTGTATTCTCAGTTTGGGAGCCTATTTGGGAAAACCCTTCAATGTCGTTTATTAGATTTTAAAAAAAAAAAAAAAATCCTACAGCAACCCAAAAGTTATTTTGCCTCAATAGCGTTCGTGGGATTGTAACTCAGAAAAGATTTAATGTAATGTGTAATGTGCTTCTTGTCCTCTGTGCCAGGACCTTCACTGCATTCAACAGGACATCGTTACAAAACCATTCCCTATAGAGTCATCCTCGTTCCCTTGTGCAAAGAACATATGTATTTGATTTTGAACTGTGATTTCCCATCCAAGTGATTAGTCACCGATCTACCCTCCCCGCTCCTATCCCCTTTTGTTTTTACAGATTCTCTATTATTTTGATATAGTTTTTACTGTCATTTTCACCATTGAAATTGCTCTAAAGGTAAAGTGCCCATCTTCTCTACCATTGCTTGTTCACAAGCTTACTAGTTTTCTGCGACTATCTGTTGCTAACACACACGCCTGTTTGTTCCTGGGTCATGCTCAGTACCACTAACCCAATTGTGCTTATTTTTCAGATCCTAGGCAATGCAGACTATGTCTTCACTAGTATCTTTACATTAGAAATTATTCTTAAGGTAACCAATCTGAGCAATACACTTGTTTTCTTCTTTCCTCCTTTCGTTACTTCTCTTTCTTTCCTTCTTTCTTTCCTTTTCTCTTTCTTTTTTTCCTTCTTTCTTTCCTTTTCTCTTCTTTCTTTCCTTCTTTTTCCTTTTCTCTTTCTTTTCTTCCTTTCTTCCTTTCTTCCTTTCTTTCTCTCTCTCTTTCTCTCTTTATTTTGTTCTCTTTCACTCTTCCTTTTGCTCTTTTTTTATTATTTTTTTTAACCCCATTATTATCTCTACACAAAGGGTTGTTTTTTCTTTTGGTTTTAACGTTTTGGTAGTTGCTTAAAAGGTCTTCTGTGAAATTTTGATATTCAAACTCATAATTTAGGGCCTATAGCAAAACAATACTTTGTAGAGGAATCTCAGTGAAAGGATACAGTGTTGGGAAAAGTCAAAAAGTACCAAAACAAAGGCCATCCCCTCATAAATTTCTCTCTTTACCCTGGCCAGTCTTTTCAAAACAGGATTTGTCTGCTCTGCAAGAAACTCTGAATACATGCACCTCCTCTTACACACACTACACATAAAGGGAAGGTCTCTGTTCTGCACAAGTCATGAGGCTGGGCCAGGAGGTGGCTGATGACTTCTCTAAGGTTACAGGGTGCACAGCCAAGTAGGAGACAGGGAGCACAGTGCAAAAGCTCACTTTTTAAGTGCAGAGAGATAACTGAGAGTACAAACCACTGAAACACCAAGGACAGTAGCTGCAAATGCAAACTGCTGCATTGAAACCCGGCTTCCCATTTCCCAGGAACATGCTCTGTACCAAGGGAAATGTGCAGGAGAATGGAAGAAAATAAAAATAGGCTGCCTTGTTCTTAACTCTAATTTTCCCAAATTGGTAGGCTAATAATTTAAATAACAGTAATTGAGCAAAGTTCTGGCTTTCTAAATGCTACGTTCACTTGGCAGCTGGGTTTTTTTCTCAGCAAGCTAGTTCTAAGTGCTGGCAGGCAGTGCCTCAGAGTTGCTCAAATTTTGCAGCTCAAGACCCTAATAACAGTATCTATACTGAAGGCTGGCAAGCAGGGTGGCCCCTGCATATTTTTGTAGAGAAACGTGCTTTCTGATATGACTTCAAATTGCCAAAGCCATAATGTCCTCCAAAGAAATGTACATATTATGCCTGCGTGCAGTTTGCATCTGTGTTTACACAATAAATCTGAACATGCACTCATCACATGGCTGATCAAAAAGGCCTGTCAAAAAAAGGAAAATACCTCAACAGCAACATTTAAAAATAAAACCATAATTCAAGGCACCTATTTGAACTCAGAATTTCTGCTCACGCTGAAGGAAATGGTAACATTCCTAATGACTTCAGTGGAAGCAGAACCTAACCCAACCCTCTGCCCTATTGCTCTGTTTCCATCAGGGGAGTGTACTTCATAGTACCTGAATCTTCCCACTATCCTGTTAACTTCAGTGGATTTATGACAACACCACTGGATATTCTCTGAGTTCAAGTGGGAGAGGAACACAAGGCCTATAAGTTTAAGTCATAAATTGCTTTATTTCTCAGTGCATGTTTCTCTGCTGCCTTGCATTGGGCACAATGTTTTGCACAGCAGCAAAGTTAGTGTAAATGGTAAGAAACAAAAGAATAAATGCCCATGGGATGTTCAAGGCTGTAGAGAAACAAGCTTCATCTGCCTTCATGTTGCTGATGACACCTGCAAGCCTCACGCTGCCATGGTGGTGTCTGGTGAATCTTAGCAAGGTGACTGTCAAGTTTTTTTTACTTGCAGGCAGGTAAAAAAATGGGAGGCAAATATAGATTATACACTCTCTGAGAGTTTCTTCTGAGATAACAAAATCTCTCAACAGGCTTGAGAGAACCATAGTTTATAAAGAACTTAAACTCAGCAGAACTTCCCCTCCTGATTTCAATGGTGTCTTTCTTTCAAGATTGCCATACAAAATCTAACCAGTAAAGGGCATCTTTACCACCTTTGTTATGGCAAGAACCCTCCTCCCTTCCCCAGTTGAATGTGTTTATAAGTATAAATTCTAAGCCAAGACCAGAGTTTATACTTCCTCCCCTTCTAAGTTCTGTCTGACTGATAGTCAGTTCCCTGATGTCATGGATGTTTGGTGAAAAAAATAATCTGCAATACCATGTGCCCTTCCACCCTCCTCTGAATAAAGTTGTCACAGGTAGTCATGGCCGGAAACCACCAGCCAGTATTCCATCCTGAGCTACTAGTGGGAGCCAGAAAACTCCAGTTTGAATTTCTAGTTCACACTACTCAGCTGGGAGTCTGGCTAGAGCTCATCACTGAGGAACAGTCTCATGGTGTCTGCTGCGGGTTACTTTAGTCACCTAATTTAGGTGAGATTCAGAGGACCAGATTTAGACACCTGTGTTCCTAACTAAGGTAATGAAGGGACATTAGCAGTTGTGGGGATGGGGTTTCTTCAAAGCAGCTACATTAGATCACTCACCGAGTCTAAGGTAGGTGAACAAATACCCCCATCCCCTCACCCTCTTCGACTGTGCCAGACTCATTTAGACACTTTCTGTAACAGAGCTCACTCTAAAGTTTTCTGTTTACACTGTCACTTAATCCAGTTCTGGAGCTGTGATATCCTCCTCAAATCCAGCAAGTATTCAATATCCCTTCATACCTGGATGGGGCAGAATGTCCCTTGTGAAATATGTAAAAATTTTCCCTTCCTCTGCTGGGTGATGTTCATAATGATTACCTCCACAAAGAAACCACTCTGTCTGAAGGAATATTGCCCTGGGCTTTGTGAGGAAAACTCAGGGGAAAATACTAGAGCATTTAGAATAAAAGTGGATGAAGATGGACAGTAAAAGGGATATGGGATTGAGCTGAACAGAAGGAGCAAACTAAAGAGAGCAGTGATCTCTCCTTTAGTTCAGCTCTAAAGCATCAAATCCCTGAGGGATTCTGGTTTTCCTTCATGGAAGAGAGATCAACTGTCCACTGCAGCTTGTCTAAGCACTAAAAAACATTACAAAAAAGAGCCCATTTTATTTTATATGTTCTATTCGATTTAGCTAAAGAGGCCTTCATATAATACAAGCATCATACTCACAGGTGTCCTCTGTCATCAAAGGGAAAAGCATATGATTGCAAAGAGTAGTTTTTGAAAACAGTCATTCTGCTGCTTTGCTGATTCTAAATGTTATGTTCTCAGTGCACTCAAAGTGCATATTTTCATTGCTGAACTTTCTCTGGCTGGGTCTTTCATAGTTATCTTACTGTCTTCTTCTCTCTCTTTTCTTTCAATGGGGACTAAACTTCTCCTTTGGGGCCTGGGGGTAAATTGTCTGCTATGTTAGAAATACTGCCTCTCCCCTCCCCCCCCAGTTATATGCTCTGAGCACAACCAGGTGGGTTTGGTTTCTGAACAGATGCTAATGGCAAAGTGTGTTTGTGTCTCCGTGTGCCTTCCTGCAGATGACTGCCTACGGGGCTTTCCTCCATAAGGGCTCCTTCTGCAGAAACTATTTCAACATCTTAGACCTGCTGGTGGTCAGCGTTTCTCTCATCTCCTTTGGGATCCAGTGAGTGAGCCATTTCCAACTGGCTGTTTTTGTGGGGGTCGTAGGGTTGGGCTGGGAGGGATAGCTCAGCCTCATGTCTTATCTGGGTGAGATTTTTCTCATGAGCCTGTTGAGGTGTTCATAAGCTATTTTTCTCAGGTGATTCAAGAGCATTAAAATGCATCCTTAAAAGGGGAGGTGATAATTGAGAAATGCTACGCTGGTGACCTGGAGGGGAGGATCTTCCAGAAAGAGCAAATGGAAACAAAAAACTTGGTGTATTGGAAATCATGACATTTAGCTTTGTTCCAAGATCTCTGATTCACTGTATTGGTTCAGGACAGTTCAGTGACTTACTGTTCCCTCCTAGAACTCTCATAACCTCTTTGGAAAATGGGGTGATACTGTTTTGCTGCTTCCAGAGATGTTGTGAGTCTTGGTCAGTGGAAGACCATCAAGCGCTTGGAGAGTTTTGTGATAATCTTCAGAGTGGTGGTGGCTGTTCTGTCACTGTATTTTCTTTTATTCATCTGTTAATTTGCTTAATAAGTTTACAGATTTATTTGACCATGTGGAACTCAGTGTGTCAGATAGGGAATTTGCTAATTAGTTTCACATCTGATGAGAAACAAGCTCCCAGTTTTTACCATCATAGGTTAGCAGCTCACATATGTTATGTTCCAGTGCTAAGTCAGGCAGAAGAATTTGTAAGGTCCATTGGGCTTTCAGTCAAGGTCTTAAGAATGGCACAGTGCTTGTTTTGACCTGCTGTTTCTTTCTTGCAGACCTAACTAGACTCTCACTATTTTAAAATAAAAACTGTTCCCTAAATCAGTAGGAGGACTTGATGTCGTACAGCAAGAAGATTCTCAGTTGGGATTTTAGTCTTGGAAGGTGCAGAGAGCTCTGCTGCAGTAGATAGTTGTGTTCAGTACTTAAAATTAAGCACATAAGTCATCCTAATAAATTCAGTGGGAGTTTCCCCATCCTTAAATTTATGTACACACTTAACTGATTTGTGGGATCAGAGGTCAAACACATTGCAGGATCAAACTCCAAGTAGACAGTATACCTTTAATACTGGAGTCTCTTGGGCTTTTCACTCTTCTATGAAAACTTAAATAGAGTGCTTCTTTGAGCCTTATCTGAAAATACCTTGTAATGACTACATCTTTGCACAATATCTATATCATAGATATCTAGAGTCATTTTACCCTGCTTAAAAATACATCCTGCCCATGTTCCATTTCCCCTTCATTAATACAGCAGAGATGGTGAAAATGAGGAGAATACATATTGCTGAGTCTGCCCAGAACAAGAAGCAAGATAACATCAGAAATTGGTTTCCTTACCCCTGAAGTGCCATAGCAAAGAGTTGACTCAATATCCTAAGCAGCCTAAGGCTATGCAGGATTTAAAAGATCTGCCCTCACAGCAACACCCCCTGCCCCCCCCTTTTGGTGTATCTCTCCAATCTTCCAATACTTTCTTCCAGGTCCAGTGCCATTAATGTGGTGAAGATCCTGCGTGTTCTGCGAGTCCTTAGACCACTGAGGGCCATCAACAGAGCCAAAGGACTTAAGGTTAGAAGAGTCCCAGTGCATTCTATAAACTATATATTTGGGTTATTTCAAGATACAAGGACTTTTGCAATGGTTCAAGTAGTTTTTCAGCAGAATCACAGTATGGTTGAGGTTGGAAGGGATCTCTGGAGGTTGTCTTGTCCAAAAACACTTCTCAAGCAGGGCCACTGAGAGCAGATTGCCCAGGACGATGCCTAGATGGCTTTTGAGTTATCTCCAAGGAGAGAGGCCCCACAACCTCTCTGGGCAAACTGTTCTGATGCTCAGTGCCCCTCACAGTAAAAGTGTTTCTCAATGTTCAGATAAACCTTCCCTGTTTCAGTTTGTGCCCATTGTCCTTTCAGTGGGCACCACTGAAAAGAGCCCGGCTCTGCCTTCTCGGCATCCTCCCTTCAGGTGTTTGTGTACACTGACCAGACTCCCCTGAGCCTTCTCTAAGCTGAACAGTCCCAGCTCTCTCAGCCATTTCTCCCAGGAGAGATGTTCCAACCCCTTAGTCATCTTTGTGGCCCTTTGCTGGACTTTCTCCAGTGTGTCAATATCTCTGTTGCACTGAGGAGCCCAGAACTGGACCCTGTACAACAGGTGTAGTCTCAGAAGTGCTGAGTAAGGGGGAGGAATCACCTCCTTCAACTTGCTAAAAGTTCTTTGCCTAATGAAGCCCAGGATACCATTTGTCATCTTTGCAGTGAGGGCTCGTGATCAGCTCTGCATCCACCAGGATCATCGGGTCCTTTTCCGACGAGCTACTTTCCAGCTGGGTTACCCTCATCACCACTGAGCTTAAATTATGTCATTTTCTAAGGTTACAGATGGGCTTACAACCCTAAACATAACCTTGCTGTATTATATAACCTCCTTCCTGTGGACTGTTGGGTGCCCAGCTGTGTAAGTTGGTGCAGCAGGAAGCCTGAGAGAACTGAACTCTGGTTTTCCTATCCCTTTCTCCATGTTTTTGAGAGTAGAGCAAGGAATGTAACAAGTTGGTCCCCTTTCCTGAGACTTTACTTAATGGGTATTAGTTAAATAAATATGTTTTTATTTGTATTTTTAGTCTTGGGCTTCTCCCTTAGCCAGAACAGTTCAGAACAATCCTGCAAGTTACTTTTGTTCCTACCTTCCATTTGCAGCACGTGGTCCAGTGTGTGTTTGTCGCCATCCGAACCATTGGAAACATTGTGATTGTCACCACTTTGCTGCAGTTCATGTTTGCCTGCATTGGAGTTCAGTTGTTCAAGGTAAAACCATTGGACCCATTCATTCATCCATTACATTGAACTGTATTAAGGTGTGGGGGGGAAGAAAAATAGCCTGAAGAAGCCTGAGGAAGGAGAATTGAAGTCTTCTGTGTGAAAGGCAAAATATTTGGGGTACTGTCAGTGTTACCTGGGCTTCTGCTACCAGCAGTTCTCCAAAACTGAACCAGGCATATGCAGAACTCTTGCCCATCATCTGTGATCACAAGAAATCATCAGTAACCTTCTTCCCTAAACAGCCTGTGGCATGACATGGTGCCAGGGAGGCGAAGGGGGCTGTTCTAAGGATTGGTACTCACTGGCTCTCTACCTCCCACTTTGCAGAGGAAGAGGCATGCCAGATGATCATGGGAGGTTATTCATTCACTTCTTTATGTCTGCTTGTATTTCTTTGCCCTTCACTGCCCTCCTGACAACAAGTGTTCTGCAGCACTCAGTGACCTTCACCTCAGGACATACACATAAAAGTACCGTGCGAGCAGATGAAAGGCTGTGCTCTGAACTACCCAGATGCAGGAAACTCTCAATGCAGTTTGCTCAAATCTACCTACAAAAGAGCATGTAAACATATTCACAGTTGGTTAACCAAGTAGTAAATGTAGATGCTACATGATCTGCCCTAACCCTTGCACTGTCAGGAAAGGAATCTTCATTCCTCTTTCTTCCTTTTCAAGGGCAAGCTGTACAGCTGCACTGATAGCTCCAAGCAGACAGAAGCAGAATGCAGGTGGGTCTGACCTTTTCCAATTAGTCTCCTTCACTGGCCAACCACCCTCAGTGCCTTGTGCTGGAGGTGCAGTTCTGCCCTGTTCTCTCTCTGCTCTCCACCCACAGAGGGTACTACATCACCTACAAGGATGGGGAGGTCAGCCAGCCCATGATACAGCCCCGGAGCTGGGAGAACAGCAAGTTTGACTTTGACAACGTCTTGACTGCCATGATGGCCCTCTTCACTGTCTCAACCTTTGAGGGCTGGCCAGAGTGAGTGCTTCTTGGACCAGTGTCCAACACTAGCAATGTCCTCATTCATTTCAAAAGAGAAAATTCAAATGCACAGCACAGTCTTTCACATTCTAAGTGTTAAAATAAGTCTAAAGCATTAAATGTAGAAATAATAGCAGCAGTCATTGTAGTCATTATGTACTTGGTGAATTCCTCAGGGCCTGCAGGAATTTCTGTTCCTGTGATTGTAAACAGCACATAGCACTGTCTCTACCTCCTAAAAGATGATTGCCAGTTGTGGCAGTGATACCAGTATTTGTTACAATTATTATGTATACAAATGGATATAAAATGCCTGTCAGGCACTTACTAATGTTGCAGATTTCCCGATGGAGTCAGCAGGGCAATGTGAAACACAGCAGTGCTATGTCTGCAGTATTGGCAGGCATGGGATGTCTTACAGGCTGTGCTATCTGTGCCACGGGAGCTGAGGACTCCCACAGAGTCACCCGTGACATGGGCATGCAAGTGCATCAGGGGGCTGACCCTGACTTGTGTCACCAGGTGATGACAAGAGCAGTGTTAACAAATAATAACTCCTGAAATCTTCTTTTCTCAAGAAGTTTAGTTCCCTTCAACACAGACTCTCCTGTCTTGTGTTAGCTGAAGGGCATGATTTTGTTCTAAATTGTAATTGTTCAGCTATGAAAACATTTCACCTCTGAAGAGGTTCAAACGTGTAAATTTAATAAGAGCCATGTCTTCTCTTTTGCAAGTGTTTGCACACAGATCAGTGCAAGTCTGCACATCTGTGAGTGAATTGATACAGGCAGAAGAAAATCATGAAGTTAAACTTTATGACATCACCTATAAGGCCTCAAGGCAGTTGCAGATTTTCTCTGCATTTGGCTCTGTTTGCTTTCAGGTTGCTGTATAGGTCCATTGATTCCCACATGGAAGATGTGGGACCCATCTATAATCACAGGGTTGAGATCTCCATCTTCTTTATTATCTACATCATCATCATTGCTTTCTTCATGATGAACATCTTCGTTGGTTTCGTCATCGTCACATTTCAGGAACAAGGAGAACAAGAGTACAAGAACTGTGAGCTGGACAAAAACCAGGTAATTTACAACACCTTGCTGTCACTGAAGTTAGAATATGCATTGAGGATAAGTGTTTAATAGATAAATACATACAGACAGGAACATGTGAAGCTCGCCAACAAAATAAAACAATAAGTTGGCTTTGCTGACGTCTTTCAGGAGTCAGGTAGAAAAAATCTTTCTTTAAGATTTGCTCAAGGGACAGCAACTACTTTAAAATATTTGTTGTACCATTTGTTTCATTGAGATTAGATGAGAACGACACCATTGTCTGGCCAAAGTAGATGGCCAAAGTAATTGCATATGGAACTCTTTGACAGGTAGAACATGCACATTCAGTTACGACCTAAAAGAAGTTCTTGTACCAAGCATTTTCATTTCAGTAAAAAACTCGAAACTTATTGTATTTTTATTATATTTGGAGGTAGCTGGCCACCCTCATATTTTGGCTTGCAGTTTCAAATTTACCCTGCCTCTTTCACAGCGCCAGTGTGTAGAATATGCCCTGAAGGCCCGGCCCCTGCGGAGATACATCCCTAAAAACCAGTACCAGTACAAAGTTTGGTATGTGGTCAACTCCACCTATTTTGAATACCTGATGTTCGTTCTGATCCTGCTGAACACCATCTGCCTGGCCATGCAAGTAAGTAAGCAAGCAGAAAACCTTAAGGTGATCAGTTAGTAGACTTTGTTGGGGAAAATATAAAAATGGCCGAGGCTGGGATTTACTTTCACCTTCATACCATGTGTTGAGGGAGAGGGACAAGGACATGACAAAAAAGCCATTGTACCCTGTTCACTTCTGATGATGTTTCATTAAAATGAGGGATCTAACTCTCATCCTCCCTGCTGCTAATATCTGACACTTTCAACAACTCTGTTTTACCTCTTTAAAAACAAACAAATGAAAAAAAACCCAAACCACCAACAGGTACATCACAGAGCATTTCAGTGGCCACTGTAATAATAAGTGACTTCTCAGTTCTGACTTGTCCTCTATGAAATGCAGCAATGAGCCCAGAACTGCCACTCACTTGAGATCTGAATTTTAAATTTGAGTCTTTTCTATGTTAAAAAGTAGAGAGCAAATATTTTGGCAAACAAGATAATCAAGTAAACTGGAGAGAGAGAGTAGAAAGGGCTTAGTATTTCCTTTATTCTCAGTTAAGGACCATAGAAACTGTCTAGAAAGAACCTCAAGAGGCCACATTGTCTATCCCACCAATTATAGGCAGAATCAGCTCCACCTGAAGCCTTTCTTGATAGAAGTTTGCCTAACTTGCTTCACAACTGATGCTAGACTACCTTACTACCTGCTGTGCTTGTTTTCATTTTCCTTACTGTGAGAAGGTTTTCCGAACACTGAATGTGAATCCACCAAAGAAACATTTGCAGATGGATCTGCAAGAACAGCAAATAGTGGCATATGTAGGTGGAACAGCAGTAGAGGAAGGAGTCAAACCCTTTACCAAGTAGCCAGCTTATAAAAAAGAAGTCTTACATTTCTTTCAGTCAGGAAATGGACCCTCATACACACAAACTGTTTTGTGCATTTCCCAAGTCTGTACTTTGCTGACTTTTTCCTTCCAGTCTGTGTCTGCCCAAGGCCTCCCTCACATCCCTTTCATTTTCAGTTAGTCTCAGATTACACCTTCTAAGCCTGTCTCTTCACTCTAAGTTTGCTTGGCCACTTGAGACCTGGTCTCTTCTACACTCCTTCTGCTTAAGAGCTGGTCTGTGTGTCACTCTCCTCCCTAAAACCCTTCCTTCCTCCTGTCCCAGTCAGGCTGTGAACTCTCTTCCTTGGTCTTTGGCCCAAACAGACTAGATGACCACTCTTCAAACAGTCCTTCTCTTCTTCTTCCTTCGCAGGCTCACAGTTGAGTTACCCCTGCCATGAATCATCTTTCCACTCTCTCTCCCCCTTCCATTTCATTCTCAGCTGCACTTTTTTTTGCTTCACTAATTGTCCTTTCCTGTGAGTTCAACCCCCATGCATTCCTACACCAACTTTCCTTTTGACTGCGTTTTTCACTGGATCAATCCCAGTCTGCTCACTCCCAGTCCCCCCTCAAAACCAGCCTGTTTCCTACCTCTCACTAGCACTCTAAATCTACATTCACAGGCAGTTTTCACTTTTCACTTTCCTCTCACTGTCTCCTGCCCAATCTCACCAGATTTCCCCACTTTTTCTTCATCTGGTCTGGCTCTTTTCCACCACCATTGAAAAGTTCTTCTCTGTTCAATTGCCTAAGGTCCAAAAAAAGGAGTGAGGCAAAAAGAGCATAAGAAAGTGCTCTGCTCTCAACTGAAGTCTCTCCTGCCCTGTTCACTCTGAAGTTGTGAAACATGCTCAGTTTCTGTGACAATGGTGCAGGCCCAGGGCAGGTAGAGCCAGAAGCTGAGAAATGTTTGTGAGCCCACAAGCAGGACACCATCCCTGGAGATTCTAGGAATTCTATATCCATCTTGAGAGAAGTACAGTTTGTCAAAGGTTTATACTGTGGCCAAATTTGAGTCAAACATCATAACAGGCAGCAAACAAAAGATACATGCCAGTAAAATTCCAAGTTTCTAAACAGAGTCCTGCAAGTACTAGAGTCTTTCAAGAAAAATGATACAAGAAATTCTGAAAATGCCTCAGTATTATATTTTCCCCTGGCCTTGCTTTCAGCTGTGGTTGAATTGTTTTAACTGAAACTCCTTTGACTAAATTACCTTGAACCAATACGGAATATGAAAATCCATCCCAGCTGGTTAAAGTTTATTAAAGTTAAGCAACTACAAATGGGGTCTTGTAACATGAACTAGAAGATGACCTTAGAATAAGGCAGTGCAACCAGTCTCAAATATAATGATCTGGAAATAAGGATATGAAGAATGACGTGGCAACATTTGCAGAAGACACTACTTGAATTAATCAATAGAAGATAGAGAGTAACTTCATAAGATCATAATAAAGTTAAGTGAATGGGCAGCATGATTGCAAATTTAATTCAGAGTTGACAAATGCAAGATAATGCATATTGGAAAGATATGATTTGAGCTGCTGATGTACTTTGCAGAATCCTGAATTAAGTGTAATTACTTGGGGAATGACTTGGTATCATTATGAACAACTCAGTGAAACCCCTGTTTGCTGTGCAATCTCAAACAAAAAAGTGATCTAAATGTTAGGGAAGGTTGAGATAACAACACAATTCGAGATTGTCTTGTACCAGTATGCAAATTTATAATGAACCCTCAATGGGAATGATAAGTGTGATTTTGGTAGCCACCACTCAAAAAGATCTTTTTTAAAAGGAGGAGATCCAGAGCCAGGTGGCAAAAATGGCTAAAGGCATGGAAATGCTAATATATGAGGGAGATGGGGATTCTTAGTTGAAAATATTTGATGTGCTGGGGTCTTCTTTAGAGAACTTTGGCAGGAAGGGAGATCAGGAGGGGTCCTGTGTGTTCCTACCCAGCTGGTATGTCTGATCCTCACCCTGCTGCTGGGATGCTATTTTTCAGCACTACGGTCAGAGCTGCATGTTCAAGGAAGCCATGAACATCCTCAACATGCTCTTCACTGGCCTCTTCACCGTTGAGATGGTCCTGAAATTAATCGCCTTCAAACCCAAGGTAGGTGCCATGGGCGTAGGTTTTCCTGGCCTCTGTGTGTGTGTGCATGTGTGCGGGGCAGCTCTGAGGAGAAGGAGGAGGTGAAACTTTCTGATCTGTTACCCCACCGATAACTGAGCTGGACAGTTGCTCTCTGGATTGGAGTCTCACTTATATTTAATAATTTTTTCACTGGAGAGTAGACACACGTAAAAAAAAAAAATTAAAAAAAGACAACACCTGCTGATAGAGAAGGTTCCTAGTTCTCTGTTTTCATTAAGTTATAGTAGTGATGCTGTGTTAAGGCTAAAATATGTTTTCCGTTCTGAATGTTATTCTAATGCTCTCTCTCTGACTTTCCTTAAATAATTTATAAATAGCATCTCATGATTAGTCTTCTGACCCAAGTGAAGTTAATCAAGCATGACTCATTTTGAGTTTTGAGCTTTGGAAAAAAATGTTTCTTCTGGGAGGGCTACATCTCAATGATGGTTTGCATTGCTTTAGTTTTGAATTCAAGACTTCATTGATAATATTCAGTACCCCAGCAGGTCCTATCTGAAAGTATTGTCCTGTGCATTGGGCCATGATATTATGCTAGTATAGCTGCACCATGGGGTATGATTATAACCTACAGGCTCTTCCAACTAGGTTCTCACAGTTGCTGCAGGACAAGGACAAAGATGCTGACCTCATATAATTACACAACACTTTCTTTTTGGGGGTTTAAACTCAGTGGTGTGTCACAAAGAGGCGAATCCAGATACCTAAGTACAGCTCCCTTGAGCCATTTCATATGTTCAATGATTCTTTGACACATGGAGCGGTTTCTTGAGGGATACCTTGATACATTGTGTGGGTAGTAAATGGTGCCTGAAACATCATTTATGACATTGGTAAAGATGAGAACATTTATGTCTGGCAGTTGTGCTTGTCCTTCGTGTTAAACATTTAGGGGATCGCTGAAGTTAACTCCTCCTAGATCTAATCTCACATCTTCCTCATCCTCAGCTCAGAAACTTTACTCTCCATTACTATTGAATTTGGTCTTATTTTTTCTTTTTAGCTTCATGTTGGCTTTACTTCCACCCAACCTCTTTGTCTTTCTTTCACACTTTCTGAGACTTCTTCTTGGAACAGTCAAAATTTTATTTTTTTTTACCTGAGCCCAATACCACTATCCTGTCTCAGATGTAGTTCTGTTGAAAGTTAGGAGCATCTTGTGCAGTCCTATTGAAGACTGATTTTGCTTTGTGAGATCTCAAACACTGTCTTGGGAATTTTCAGAAGGATCATTATCTGTTTCAGCAGGGATTGTAATTTTCAGGAGAGTTCTACCTTTCACTCTTGAGGTTTCACCATGTCTATTAGCAAGGAATTCTCTGGCACTTAATGAAAACTTTATCTGCACACCGTATACCCAGAAGTGTATCTCACAGGCTCTGTAATGTTCTTCTGATTTCATGGTTCTACTTTAGAGGAGATTCTTAACTTTCAGAAAGATGAGATTCTCAGGAGAACTTGGGTTTAAACGTTTAGGGGATAAGTTTAAACAGGTCAAACATTGAGCTTTGTGCATATATAAGGAAGGCTTTACCTGACATGATTGCCTCTAACACTAAGGAGTTGTCATTGATGATATTGGAGGTCTTTCAACTTGTGTCTCACCTTCCTGTGTTCAATCTCCTTTTCAAGTTTTGCTGCACAGCAAAGTATTAAAAAAATCAACTGAGGGTAAACAAGCATCCTCTGGATGGCAAAACTGTGTAAGAGATTTCCTAAAGAGATTGTGGAATCTCCATAATTTGAGGTTTTAAAATGAAGTTAGGGAGGAACCTTTCATTCAAAGCAGTTTAGGAATGTATGATCTGCCTTGAGAGATGCAAATGGAATAGAACATCTGACAAGGTCCCTCTCAGCCCAATTTTCCATTATTCTGTACTTTCCAAACTAAATCCTCAGCCTACTGCAATACAGTAGAAGTGAGAATATAGAAGCTTTCCTTGTGGCCAGAATAGCAGAGGCTTCATGAAGTCTTCTCGGCTATGACCCAGAAACCAACCCCTGGTTGAGTCCCTCCCATCCTGAAGGGAGTGAACAGCCAGCAGAAAGAAACAAATGTTTCAAGTCCTGGTCTGGCCTGTCTGCCAAAGGTAGTGCTAGCTCTTATACCACTATTTTAATTAAATACCTTAAGGAAAATCACCAAAATTTTTAAAATGCAACCAAAGGATTTCCAGGAAAGAAAAATAGGAATGAACTTGTGAAAGCAACTAGTGCAGCCAAAAGGCTTGCCTCCAGCAGTATATTCACACTGGATTATGTTGAGTACTAATTCAGTGACTCAGGTTTGGAAGCTCCAAATTCCTTGTTCAACTTGCCATTGTCTGTTCAGTACAAGGATTTGACCTGCAGCCTTCATTCCCTGCTCCATATTGGCTCAACCTGCTCTCCAAAGAAGGCAACCCCCTCTCCCAGATGACCACTTGGACTGATGTGCACCAACATTGGTGCACACAATCTGCTTTTCTTCAGGTTGCACGCTGGGATTGAAGCTGGAGTTGCCTAGAATGTGTTCTGAAGTAGGAGTCTCCCAGCATGTAGAAAGTAGCTACCTCAATTTTCTGCTTGGCCAGACCTTGTGTTCTCCTATCACTCAAGGTACAAAAAACAAACTACATTTGCAGATGGAGGCTGTGCCTAGGAACAGCAGCTGGAAAAGTCCAAAAGGATTTTCATTGTCACCTGGGTGAACATATGTAAAGCACAGCCATCATCCTCTCCCCTCTAACCAACCAAGTCCCCTCAACAAAGAAGTGAGATGCTGAGTGATATTAGTGTTTCCCAGATGAGAAATGGCAAGATTAAATGCTCATCAGATCTCTGCTGAAGACAGATTTGTCTGTCATTTCCTGAGCAGTAAAACACAAACCAGCCTTTGTTTAAGCTGCTTTGTCTCATTTTGAATATGTGCCCAAACATCACTCTTTTCTATCTGAAGAGTACCCTAAAATAAAAGAGCTGTGAGATTTATGACTGACAGCAAGAAAGCAAGAAACTTGGTTAGCTGAAGGTGTTGTGTTCTAGTGACAAGCCTCAGGAGAATGTGGCAGAACAGAACTGAGCAGAGAATTGAAGCTGGCAACATTCAGTCTGTTTTCTGCATTTTTTTTGGTGCTTATCCCCGCAGTGGGTACTGCAGCTAACCTTCAAACCCAGCAAGCAAAGCAGGATCTGAGTTGTGGCTCTGAAGCAGCTGCCACAGAGCTCTCCATTGCACAGTCACTTCTTAAAGGCACCTTGGAACAAATGGTCTGCAGCGTCAACAGAGGATAAGGTTTTCTCCATTGGCACAAGGTGGAACAAGCTGCTGTTTATTCATACCTTTACCAGGGAGAACTGGAAAGGGAACTAGGACAGATCCCTGAGGTACTCAGCTCTGCTATCACGCTACCTTCTTAACCACAGTCACCACAGGGATGTGCCCATGCAGAACAGCTCTGGGGGAAGCCTAATATGCAGAGTTCCTGCTGCAGTCCATGGTGTGGCCTTCGCTATTGTAGACTCATGGATTTATTTGGGTTGGAAATGACCTTCAAGATCATCAAGTCCAACTGTTAACCTACCACTGCCAAATTCCACTAAATACAATGCACTCCAGTGTTACATGCATAGCAATGGAAAAGATGGCATGCTGTCTCTGACTGAATGGATTTTTTGGCTGTATTTTTTATTTCTTCACTTGTTTCTGTGAGGAGAGGTGTCCTTATTTTCCACTCTTGATAGTAAAGGTGAAAAAAAAAGCAAACACAATCAGTTGCACTGATAATAAGCAGGATCACATACATGCCTGTGTGGATAATCCAGGCCTGCAACTAGTTCTTGTGGTAAGAGCAAGGCTTTACTTATTGAAAGGCCAGCTGTAGGAATAAGGAGCCAAGTCCAAGTCAGGGCTTGTCTCTTAACACTTACAGAAAATATGTGAAGGGGTAGAAAGACAAGGGCTTTCCTAACTAAACATACTGTTACTGCTGAGAACTGTTGCTCTAGTCAGCAAGTCCCTTTTGAAGTTGTCCTTTTCAATGGCCATGCTCTGTGAGCAGTGTTTTGGTTTGCTTAGTCTCCAGGGAGGCTATGGAGAAGAGGGGTGCTGGAGCAGCTGCTGCTGTGGTATAGATAGTGCATGCCAGGACAGCTTCTTGAAAGCCCCTGTGTTTCTGTGTGACACTTTTTCTGGTGATGAGGATCAGTTGCCCCATTTTTTTTGCGGGATTAAGCGCTGTGTAAGACAGCTCATCCATGTCTGATGTGGTGTTGTCAGGAGGGTGAGCATTTGGGATGATTAGGGCTGTTGATAAAGAAAACATCCACTACATGCCCTGCATCTCCTTACAGAGTATTAATATGCTACTCTGAAGCAAAACTCCCAAATGGACCTCAGTGTTTGTCTTGGCTCACGCTCATAAAGTGATTCAAGACTAGTTACTTCAAAGAGACAGACAAGCTAAAAGTAACGCTGTTGAGCCAAGGCCTTTTGCTGCTTTGTTTTTCTAATTTTATATATTCTCCAGCCAGTCTGGTGAGCTATTTTCCAGTTCCTGCATGGAGAAATCTGCTGCTGCTGCTTCGTGCTTTTTCCCGAGAAAACTACTAAAGGGAATGAGGTGCTGTGCTGCCTGGGGTGCTCACAGCTACCACTGTCCTGGCTTCTTAAAGAAGAAATCCCCACAAGCACCAGTCCATGAAGGGCCAGCTGCTCTACAAAACCTGCCTGGGGTTTATCTTTTCAAGTCAAAGACAGCAACTTAAAATTCCTATTCATATGAAGCTACGCCATCTGTCAGTGTACATGCTAATGTGAGGATGGATATTCCTCTAGGAGTTTCAGATCTTTCCAGCTCCCTGGAATGGACTGTTTTACTGATGAACCACGTATACTTTTTCTTTCAGGAAACATTTCATCTGTCCCCTTATTAGCTAGGGCAGGACCACTAATCCGAGAGCTATAAATTTTCTACTGT